AGGAAATCAAAGGTGGAAAGGAGGAGTGTGCTGTCACAGTACAGGGAGAGCAATTAGGGTCACATAATAATGTATGTATAAATTTTTGTATGAGAGACTAACTTGAATTGTAAACTTTCACTAACAATAAAATAAAAAATTGAGATGCCCCCCCCAAAAAAAATGTAGTTTATGTATCAAAAAGCACAATAAAGTTAAAAGCAAACGACAAATTGGGGGAAAAACATTTGTAACATGTGTAACAACATCCACATCTTTTGTATTCTATTGCTTTGTAACAAATTATCCTCCTGTACTTTGAAAATTTCAGAATTACCAACCTGAGAGATAAAGTCCACAGTTTTTTAATGGTTTACAAATGCCCATTACACATTTCCAGCTTTATCTCCAACTACTCCAGCAACATTTCCTACCTTATGTGCAGATACTCTAACCATACCTGACAACTCCCCACACAATGCTAAAATCTTAACTTCCCTAGTCTATCCAGCATTTTCCTAGCCCTACAACCAGGAAACACACTTTTGGATCGTACAGCAAGCCCAATAAGAAGTCCTCAGTTCACTGGTCCTCTCCTCCTTACCTTCAAATGATCTTTGGTCTGGTTTCTAGTCAAGCAATTCATCATTCTACAACGGGATTAAAGTCCCACAGTCTACTTATCTAGATTTAGGCAGAGAAAATATGTACTTTTCTCGCAATGAACCTCTCACTGCATGTTTTTTCTTATGTAATTTATTGAGATATAATTCCCTTATCATAAAATTCATCTTTTAATGTGCACAATTCGGTGATTTTTAGTCAGAGTTATGCAACTATCATCACTATCTAACTTCCGAACATTTTCATCCCCGGCCATCAAAAGAAGCCCGGTACCCATTAGCAGTTCTTCTCCATACACCCCTCCCTCCAACCCTTGGTAACCACTAATCTTTCTGTCTCTCCGGATTTGCCACTTTGGGTCATTTCCTATAAATGGAAGTATATAGTTATGTGGCCCTTTGTGACTGGCTTTGTTCACTTAGAATGTTTTCAAGGTTCGCCCATGTCAAAGCACATATCTTCATTCTTTTTTATGGCTGAATAATACTCCATTGTAGGAATATATCATATTTTGTTTATCCATTCATCAGCCAATAGACATTTGGGTTATTTACACCTTTTGGCTATCATGAATATGCTGCTGTGAACATTCCTGAACAAGTTTTTGTATACATGTATGTTTTGATTCCTTTGGTGTATATACACATAGGAATGGAGTTGCTGGGTAACATGGTAACTCAATATTTAACTTTTAGAGGCCCTGCCAAAGTGTCTTCCAAGAGACTGCACCATTTTGTATTCCCACCAGCAACACACTATCACGTTTTCATCCAAGTGAGTATGTTATAATCGCTTGAAAGAAAAGAGAAGTGTGCCATCACAGTATAACGATAATCCCCTACTAAGAGTACTGCATTAACAAAACAGAAGTATATTTCCAGCAGGAATACGGAGTACATTAAGCAAGTGAGTTAACCTCTCAGGGCCTACTGTTCCTTATTCGTTAAACAGAGATGCTGTAATGACATCTACCTCGCAGTCGCCGTTAAGATTAAATAAAACAATCCACCTAAAGGTGCTTTACAACATTGATTATTCGTCATTCAATCCTGGGCAAAGCA